GATATTTTCCTTTCGAATGGACGCTGTGCAGAAACAAAGTATATGAACTAAATTTTTCTTTTCTGATCCATAGCTACAATAGTATTCATTGTACAGCACCTTGATTTGATTAATTTGCTTGCTCATAGGACAGAGTCTTGTCCTGGTAAATCAACCATATGGCTAGCAAATTCGGCTTGAAATTTATTTACATTTTGAAATATAAACATAATCTCGAAATGGACATACAAGAAAAAGATCGAACCGACGATCTTCCAAATGCGTTAGAGTAAAATTCAAACTGCTTCTTAACCTGAACTGAAGTCAAAAACCTTAATTAGTTGCATTTCAAGGAGCGAGAATGTAGTGTGCTTGAGAAATTTCAATTCATATGTAGATATGACATCAAGACTTTGTCATTAAATCTGGAAGCAAGAAAGTAAAAGCCATTTAATCTTCAAAAATTTTTTGCATGAACTTATTATCTAAAGCATAGTTATTTCTTGTCATTACTACAACTTCATTGAAAGCTTTTCGTACGTATTTATATTTCGTTTCTGCATATCTTATCCTAATTATATACATATCATAAGTAGTAATTATTTATATAAATAAATACGTTTATGTGTTATTAAATAAGCTCGCCAATTGTGAAAATATCAAACGAACATGGAATACAATTTTGAGAGTTGAGTTCATTATTATATCCATATCATTATTATTATAAAGTGATAACGCACACTTCACTTTTATTATCCCGAAATAAAGATAAAATAATATGTTTTCTAAATAAAGCATCTCATTAGAGCTTTCGCCATATAACCAAGATTATTTATTATATATACTTCTTTTTATACAAAAAAGAAATCGTTTAAATTTTGGGAGCCGAAAATACAAGTTCAATAATTTCAAAATAAACACCACTTTTAATAAACTAAACCCATATCAAATATTTGTAAATCGCTCCCAAATAACTCGCCTCCTCGAATGTTTTTATTAGAAGCGCGAAGATAGGATTATGCGAACCAGATTGACTCAGCAAGTAGCAACACTTTTGGGCATTGCTCCTTCACAACAACAAAATCGACAACGAGACCTCATACTTGTCGACGCTCAAATTGAAAAATCCTTAACAAAAACGAATAAAGAAAAAAGAAAAAAGTAGAAAGAAGAAAAAAGACAAATAATAAATAGCAACAATAAAAAACATTGAAAAAGGGTACGAGATATCGTCGTCGTCGTCCCTCGTCCTCGTCAATTGGTATCCTTTTCCTCTCAGGCCAGTTAACCCACTATTTGTGGATGGGTGCGGTTATTAGGGCTAAAGAGCTCGCTTATTTATTTCAATTTTAATTTACAATTGCAACAAAGTATTTGGGCATTTGGTTTGAAAAGCCCTCAAGGATTTTCAGGATATTGATAATTTCACAAAAAGGCGCTCGCAGCAGATACTTGTGCGCTAAATCTATGTTGAGCTTGAGGATTATGGCTATTAATGAAATCTTTTATATATTTTTAATTTTGTTGAAAGTGTAGAAATGTGTTTTTCACAACAAAGACCCCCTCATCTCTTCGTCTTTGTTGTTGTCTTTTAATATCTTGATTAATTTTTTATAATAAATTAAAGCGGCCGTTAATGGTGTATGAATGTTTTTCGTTTTTGTGTTATTTGTTGAATTACTTTGATAAGAGCCATTGTTGGGAATTCTTGGGAATTGTTGGAAAGATGTTGGCTGCTTTTACTTGGCTGAAAGTACCAATGCTAATTATGGTTGGGAGAAGAGCCCAAATAGTTGTTGTAACAAATTAATTTTAACAGAAATTCTTTTTGAATAGTCACAAGCAATTTATATGAGAACTACGCTAGTTAATAAAAAAATTACTTAAGGCATAAATAAATGTGCATATTCTAAATAAATTAAATTTATTTTAGTGAGAAAATTCTTTTTTTTGTTCTTTTTTCTTTGTTAAACATTTTTATATGTCCACATAATTGAAGGCGGGTATTTCCTCGCAATGCGTTTTTATTTAGGCATTCATAATACGATTTTCATTAAATTTTGTTTAAAACTTTACGTAAACTTAATCAATTTCCTTCTTCGCACTTCAGATACTCAACAAAGCCTGACTAATTGCTCAGCTCTTGTTTTATTGTGCAAAAAAATCCTTATAATTACACGAATGAATTACTTCCGTTTACAATAAATCCCAGTTAACGCAACAGACATAGAAGGAAAAAATGAAAACACAAAGCGAAGTTGAAATGAATACGAAAAATGTGCAAAAAAAAAAAGGAATCCCAACAAAGAGAAGCGTAAAGTGGCCACCATAATCTCTAAAACATATGCAGAGCAGCGTACAGGCAGCCGAAAAGTATGCAACGTCAATTTCGATTTCATTCCGCAAGTGCGTACTTGTGTGCGTGTGTTTCTACTTATATGCAAGGCTCTGTGCTATGAGTGAGATTTTTTGTACTTTACATTCAAATTATCATTGGAAATCCTTTTTACTTTTTTTGGATTTTTTTTTTTGAGTTTTTTTCGTTTGTGTGTTGACCCTTTTTGAACGAAAATTTGTTTTATAAACCGCACTTCCGTTGTTCTATTAAATGAGCACCGCCAGTTCGCATGTATCCTGTACACATTCTCATATCCTGCTGTTTATCCTATGCAAATACAGCAAGAAAGTGTTTGAACGCTTTGAGTTAGATGGATGGTTCAACTGTTTGACTCATGGATTTGAACGCTTTCACGCAAGCTGTCAGTTTTCACACGGATTGTATGGGTTTTTATTGAAAAAATCTGCGATTTTTGTTTCATATAATGATGCCTTTAAGTACGTCATATCAGCAATAATCTATTGCTGTTTTCATGTATATTTAATTTAACAAGAGATTCTAATAAAATTTACAATTCAAGACTAAAAAATTGGTTTTGCTTAAAGTCATGTAAATATTTAATTGTTACAAATTAGCATAATTTGTTTATTAATACCACGCCTACAATTTCACAACACCTAAATCCGCTTAATAAATTTCTGTAGTTATTGTACACAACAACTTCAAAGTGCTCCTCCTTAAGAGAGCACAGCTTATGAATACAATAAAATTACAGGGCAGAAAGGACTTTAATGATTTCGTCCTACTGCTTTTCTGCCACTGCGTATATCCGCTTCAGTTTTACACAGCTTTGTTGTCCTGGTTGTCGTTTTTATTTGTCGCAATTGAATTTGAATCAATTTAAAATTCCTCACCCTCTGATCTATGCCACAGCCACAACTTCTTCGCATTCGTAGCGATAGAATATCGTACTTTTTGGCAACAAAGTATAGGGAAGACGTCCATTTACTCGACGTGATGAAGTTATTAGAGGATGCCTAGTTTTGTTGGCAACTCGAAGAACTTGAGTTGCTACTGCATTTGCATACGAACAAACTCAGTGAGAATAAATTTTAATGTTGACGAGGGTTTCACTTGCACACAAAACTTCTATTTCTACTTCTACTTTTTTCGTCTACTTTTTATTTTCAATATTTTATTTTGCCTCTTTCGATTGTTATTATAATGAATTTCGATTTGGAATTGTGCCCAATCCTGATTTGGACACTTGAGTGAAATATGTGTTTTCAATTGATTTTAATATTTGTGCTATTGGAAATAATGTAATTCTGAAATTGTATAAATTAATAATGTGTAAATGTGTAAATGTGAATAGAGAATTCTTAAAGTCCTCTTTCTAACAATAAAGAATAAGATTTTAGAAAAAAAACTAGAGATAGACTTAGAATTGGTATAAATTAGGTTAGGTTTGGTTGGAGTGGCGACCTTGTGCCACTTGTGCTCACTTGAGCACGGCTCGTTGTAGTGTCACAGAGTCCATATAATGTAAATAATATAATGTAAAGTAATATGACAAGTATTTTGATAAGCACATACAGCTGTCAGATATATGATTATGGAAGATATTCTAGTTCTGTTACATACAGCAGAAACTTAGTCACTGAAAAAGTTGATTGAAAAAGAGAGTGAGTGACTCTCTCACTCTTATTTATGGATTCATGATCACCGAACATCTCTTTCTATTCCAATAATAAGTCACTATTCGTCGTTTTAGTACTATAATCCTCACAAGTAATAACTGCAGGTACCATAAGACTGAAATCATTCTATTGAGTTTGGAAGTAAAAGAGCTATTGATATACCAAATCCTTTTAAATAACGGATGGTAGATGAAAATGTCTTGTAAAATGTCAGATTAGTATTGTTTGGTTATTATTAAAAGCCAATATTATCACTGATAAACAAAAAGGATACATATCTCACTAGATTGACTGCTGTAATTAATGGTTTTCCCCCTACTGCAGAGCAGGCGCAATATTACTGTGACATCTACATCTACAAATTAGTTCTCATGATTTGTTATGGTTTTAATGAAAAGTTAGCCAGCAAACTAAACATAATGTTAAAATCTTCCATGCAAGTTTAAAACCGAGCTGCAGAAAGTGAAGGTAGGTAACAGTTTCACGACTGCCGGGTGATAACATACTTATAACCCTTGAGTGAAAATCATACAAAGATAATTCCTTAGAGATATAGTCATAGAGAGATAATCAAAGAGCGATAATCATAGAGAGACAATCACATACTAACATAGATACCATATAAATTATCATATTTTATGACAGTCAGTTAAGATATGTCAAAGCAACCAGTAGTTTTGCATATAATAACGAATGAAAGAGAAAATGACCCCTTAAAAGCTATTCCTTGAAGCACCAAAAAGAGCTTAATTGTTATTTTTTCATATTTTGTGGTAGTTGAAGAACAGATTCCCAAACGTTCTTTATTCTTACTTATAGAAACGAATAGAGAAGAACATAAGGAAGGTTTGCATCACAAAATATAAGATATGTAACTCAAATTTGGCTTCTCAACTTTGTATCAAGTTAGTGTGGAAAATTTCTTTCAAAATAATTTCTGACAGATCGATGAAAAACATATTTAAAAACAAACTATAAAAAAACATTAACACGACCAATATCATCCATAGAGAAAGTCCAATAACAAAGCAGGGCTTAAATTCTTAAAGATGTCAGAATTGCGGCATACAGAAAGCGTGATCTCATATCAGGGTGATTCTTTAAATTTAGAGAAGGAAATAAGTCCGCAATCAACTGATACTAAAGAGAGTATAAAGTATGTTAATTATTCCAATGCAATAAATATTCTTAAAATATATTCTTTGCAGAGTTTTGTACACGAATCTCAAGCGATTAACAATCACTCCCCGGTCCAGTGGTGATGGTATAAGCTCAGATATTAATTCAAACCAACGCTTGACTGACGGTTTCTCGAGTCTAACGCCTTTCTCGTTTGATCGACACTATGCAGAGACGCAGAAAATAGTAGCAGAAATGGCTTTTCGAAATTGGGTTGCTGAGAAGCTGTAAGAAACTTTACTATTTCTTGGTAAATATTTTATTTGATTTTACTTATTTTAAGTAAGAAACAAGCACTGGAAGCCAAGAGACGCAGACAAATGCAGAAGCAAAAATTGCTGGAATTGAGACAACGTTCTCAATTGACTGATGTGAAATATAAGGAGTGGTTGCACAATAAAAATGTTCAGCGAAGATTGCAGGTACTTAAAAAAGAAGAAGAAGAAAAGAGTTTAAAGAGCTTTGAAAATCAGAAACATAACTTGAGCACTGAAGAAATTCAACAGAAGATTAGGCAATGGGAAAAATTGAAGTGGGCAGAGGCGAAACATAAGCGTCTTCTGGAATATGAAAATGAATTGCGTGTAAATAGAGAAAGAGAAGTACGACAACAGCTCGCTAAAGAAGCCTTTGAGAGATGGTTACGTGATGTAGATAAGAAACCTAAGCCAGTGCCATTGAATCGTGGTTTGTTTACTTTGCGCGGTAGTGTTTCTTACATGTACGTCAATCCAAATGAATGGCAGAGTTAAAATTTATTTGTTAAGTAATTGTTCTTTTTTGTGGATTGCAGTGCAGTTTCATTGCTTATATTTTGTATTTTAAATAAAATTAATTATTTTTTTAATAAGTTTGTGACTCTACGCAAAACCCAGTGCCTATTTATTACCTATTTTATTTATTATAGTTATTTGTAACAATAATTAAATATGTTATGATATTAAAATGATCTGAAAACGATTTAGGGATTACATAGAAACTCTTCAGCCTTTAATAGAGTTGATATTTCCCACAGCAGTAAAATAATCGATGGAATTATATGACACTTTACCAGACTTTATAACTTTAAGTGAAGGGGATTGGTATAATTCATATCTACATAACTTAATTTTAGCAACAGTAGAGCCATATAACACAACATTTGGACTCAATAATGATACTGGATTATAATATATATACCACTTAGTTTCACTAAAAACCGTTTGTCTACATCTTGTATCGTATCGTATCACATATCGTATCGTATATATATCAGAGTAAGTTATTAAAAAAAAATGGAACATTCTTCTAACAAAATTGGTTTGAAAAGATAATACTCGTGATTAAGTTACGTTTTTACAAACAGGTACTTCAAAATATTTATTCATTATTTTCTGCCGACATTGTTTACTATCATCTGGCTTGTTTGAAACCATGAAGCACATTACTTCTCCGTTCTTTATCTCTCAACTCAAAGGCCCAGCTCTTTTCGTACTTAAATTTAATCCCTGATTGTGGACATTGTATAATCAATTGTACCCAACCGCATTTTTGTTGCTAAATCGATTCTTTTTACTCACCATAAGCTTTCTCCTTGTCACATAATTCTAACTCTCTTACTTAATATTAAGCCTATCGATCCTGAGTATCTGTCTGTGATTACTGGTGGTTTAATTATTTTGACAATTTATTCCTAAGAGTAGATCATACCTTATTAAGGCAGCTGGAAAGCCACAGTTTGAGACTTGAACCCAGTAAAAGAAAAGAAAAAATCCCAACCTTAAACTGTGAAAGATGGCTTGCGACTAAAAACGTATTCTAGTAATGGAGCGTTGCTTCAATATATAAGAATTAATGGAGGAACATAAGAAGCTTAGTATTTGAAGAATTAAGGTCTATCGCCGGTATTGCCTTTTAAGAGAATATTTTGATTTGCGTATTGGTGGTTAAAGTACGAACTTTGCTTCTGCCCACTTGATTTAATCAATATTTTCACCGCTACTGTAGTTCAACGGTCTTTGCACAAAACCAAAACATAGCATTTGAAATTTGCTAAATACATAGCACGCCACCTATAAATGTAGCCATAATTATTATGGTTAAAATATCGAATTCTATGTTTTGCACTATACAGCGCAGACAGCAACCAGACATAAGAGCAACTTTTATACGACAATTCACAATAGCATCGCGTTTCTTATATGAATTAACAATTTTGCTGCTTCTTCAGCATTCATTGTTAATTTTATGAATATTTTCAATTAAAAAATTTTTCAGAAGCGTGTGTTTGTTGACCTGCTAATGGGCTTAATTGCTGCAAAACTTTGACTATTTAAAATTTTGCATCTTTTGTTGCGTGAAACTCAGTTGCGAAAACTTCAAATTATGAAATTATGAAGTTAACTTCATGGCATATGCATATTCCATATTCCACATTCCAAAGGAACTGAACTGCTTGCATAAAACACTTAACTTCACCTATGGCTGCCTGGCTGCCTGTCGCTTGCAGTTGCACATCCTGTTTCCGTTACTGATTTTTACATATTCTTACCGCTTTCACATCAAAATCATCGCAACAACAACAACAACAACGACGACGTAATGAAGTTATACCACAAAGAGACGAAGTGTGAATCGAGCGATTGCAGGAATTTCGAACTGCAAAAATGGAAAAATGGAAAAGTTAGGCCACTCCACAGAAGGTTAAAAGTTTAAACGGATTTTCGTAGTCCTTGTAGGGAAAAAGTGAAAGAAATTTTACCCGAACATACAAAAACAATGCAAACATGGAAATTAGCCAAGCTGAGCAGAAAAAGCGCAAAATTTTGCAACTTCTGAGTTGAGTTTTTGTGTCTATGAATTGTCCTTAATTTGCATAGGCGAACTCATATGTGCCATGCCGCATATTAACTCGCCCATATGCGGAATCTGTGCCGAAACAGCTATCTATGCCTAGAAGTGCCGAAAAAGATTTTAATCATTTTCAAGTTCTTCTCTTCTCCTCCTCTCCTTGTAATTACCAATGGGCATAAGAGTGTGGGATCCTTGCTTGCTAGGCAATGGTACCTATTCAGCTCACAGGCATATCTTGGCATCCAAAATTTTTGCGATTTTTGCAATAATTATTTATGGAATTTTTTTCTTTTTTTTTGGGAATTATTAAAAAAATTATTAAAAAATATTTTTGTGCAACTAATGTCTTTTTAATTACTAACAGTCAAAATCCGAAAGTGATTACGATTATCATTTGTTATTATTTGTGCTGAGGTAAGATTAATGGTTTCAGTTTTTTTATTCCAATTTTATATTTAAATTTTTAATTATTTTAAGTTATTGATCCGCTTCTTCAAAAATTGAAATTGAAATTCGTTTCGGTTTTTAATATCAATATTTTTGAAAGTATCAAAATTTTAATTAGAAAACAGGACGAGCTTTTGTGTTCTGTGACAAGTTCATTAACTCTGCCTTTGCGATCAAAACAATATTTATTTATTTTATTTTTTGCTTATGAATTAAAAAATTAAAAATAAATTTTTTATACGATTTTAAAATACAATTTTTTAATGAATTTGTAATTAAGCGGTTTACGCTCAATCAAAAATTGTAAACAACGAAGTTGATAAGAAAAGGCGCGGCTTCTGTTTCCATAATCGATGAGTAGGGGTTTCAGTTTTCAGTTTTGGTCTCAAGCTGAGCATCAAAATGCAATCAATAATTTTTTCAATTTATTATCCTAAGGAGTTCTGGTGACTTTATTACCTGCACTCATATTTCAGTCGATGACATAAAATGCAAGCCCCCAAATCTCTTCAATTCAATCAGAAGACGAGAAAAAATAAATTCAAAGTTCAGGTTTCAGATCGTTTTGTGTGCCAAATTTAGCAGCATTGATCTGCATTCAAAAGCAGAATCGGATTTTCGCTAAATTTAGGATGTTTTATTATGAATATAAAAAGTTTATGTACTAAAAAAGACTCTCGGACTGTGGATGAACAATATAATCTATAAATTGTAACTATAAATTGGTATGAGTTGTTGTTGTTGCCGAAAATGTTTCTTACATTTTACTTGAAACAAACGATTCTGAGAGTTCAGTTATATATACTATGTGCTAGTATGAATGGTTACGCAACCTCCCTCCTGACGTCTCTATCCCCAGCACACTTCCCGCGAGTATCGTACAAGACTTGAGCTACACATCTTCCCAATATCTCACCCTTAATTTCGTTGAGCGCGATTACGATGCCCCATCATTGAATTTTCATGCTATATTAGATTTTTTTAAGAAAAATAGGACAATCATTTCTACGTAGAGCAACTGTGACATGCACAGATTTGTAGGTGTTAACAGTACAGATATAACTTAAGGTATCTGATTATATTTTCATGCGATATTAGATTTCCGTCGAGAATAAAAGGAGAACACTTACTTCCGCTTAAAGTAACTCTAAGATGCCCGTAAATCTTAGTGTTTACATGCAGTGTATTTCTGCAGTTCATTTTGAACGATATCAGATGCTCCAGATAACGATTCGTGGGACTCGATAAGGATTACTTACGCAATGTGATTAGATATAAACATTTTTTGTGTAATTAGCATAACAAAAATGAAGATTGTGTAAAGAAGGAACAGGGAATTAGGCAGGAATACATTGAATATCTAAACTTGAATCTGATTTTTTAATACGAGTATAAGTTATTAATTATAATAGTTAGTGTCCAGTGATTATTATCATTATTGAAAAATAGGAATCGTGCACTGCGACCTAAAAGATCTATTATACCTCTACGTCAGATGAGAGAGTTTCTTCAAGTCCGATTTCTTTAATGAAAGACAGTATATAGCCTATATTTTCTAGTTTTAGATCCTTATGATCTATGAAATACTCTCCTAGGTGTTTCTGCCGCTTCTGCATCAGTGACGGGTATTCCGCAAGCACATGGTATGCAGTATCTCTCTATCTTCTCTACAGTATCTGCAGTGTGAGTTGGACTGAATTCCTAACTTCGGTAGGTGATTATTCAGTGGCCGGTCAATAATCCCGCAATATTTCTTAGGTAATTTTTGGATTGTGCTATGCAATCTTTGAAGCGTTTTAGTTTGTAAGTCCCTAAAAGCATTTCAGCTTTTAGCATTTCAGCTCAACTTCGAAACCATACCATATCATTTCCACAACTCCTTCAACCCATCAAATCTATGCTATTTAAAAACATTTATGTTTAAAACACGCATAAAAGATAATAATTTAATTTTAATACCAAATGAATTACTCCTTCTCTTCTTATAAAAACATTGCCATTAATTATACTCAACGCTGGCAACTCTGGCAAACATCAACGCTTCACGCCGAAGCTTGCCTAATTGAATTAAAAATTAATCGCAATGGATAATTATTCAGAAATTTTTTTTCACTGACATTCCTTGAAAATTTGTTCTGTTTTTTAATTGTGTGAACTCTTATAAATATTTATTGCTTAAATATAATTATTTTGTTAATTTCTTTAACATTTGCGATAATAAAATGATTAATAAAATAATTTCGAGGCAGCTGCAAGCGAATATTTCTCGCCTGAAAAGTGATTTTTAAAAACATCAACAATAAAAATTGTTAAATTTAAGAAAAAAATTATTTTTTTTGCTTAACTTTATTAATTTTACTGTAAAACATTTTTGTTTTGAAAATTTTATTAATTAATTAAGACGCGTCATTTTACTGGTTTTGTTAATTACATACAAAAATAATTCTCAGCTTTGTTTAAATTTAAATAAATTTTTATGACTTTGAATGATTTTGAATATTTTATCACAAAACTGTTTGAAAT